ATATATATATACTACTACTACTACTATATATTATTATTATATATATATATATATATATATATATATATATATATATATATATATATATATATATATACACATACATACATTTCGAACACGTTCGAATGTATACAATGTGCGTAATACTTTGGTACTGAGAGAAATTAAATACACTTCTACATATACTTACGTACACGTAACCATATATATGTATATATACATGTTTATTCGTGCAATTGCAGGTGAAAAACGTTGATGTTTGGTTCACTAACTTTTTTATTTGATATTTGAGATAAAGATAAATTTCAAATAAAAAAAGTTGGAAAATGATAATAATTATACGATCGTATAGAAATTTAGACAATCCGAGTGATCAGGTATTTCTTCTCTCGAAGACAAATCGCGTTATAAATTTAAGATTAATATTTTTTTAGCAGAAGGATAAGTAAAAAATAGATAAATAGGCAATAAGAACCGTAAAATACAATAAATGAAGCATTAGAGCTATTAAAAAAAAAACTTTGTACGACGTACGTTAGAGAGAAAAAAATAACAGATAAAAATTGTATAAAGACCAAAGTGCCAAAACACGAGAAAATAAGTAATGAACAACAAATCATATTCATGAAAAAGAACATATTTGACTTATTCAAGTCCCTCGAAAATGCTAAGTAAATCAGTTTGCGTTTCGGTGTGACTCGTTTGTGTATTCAGCCAAGATCTGCAGGCTCCACTGGGAATGTTGCAATCAGCTCCACAAATCAGAGACTTGGTTTGAGTCTCAGTAGAAACTGTAGTATCGTCGTGCGACCAAGCGGTCTGAGTCTGTATATTGGATAATCCGAAATCGGAGGACAGCATTTTGTCGCATGTTTGAGTATATGTATTACTATATAATAACTGCTCCATGTTGTCCAGATCTGTAGTTTGCGTTTCGATGTTTGAACTCAAGGCGAAAGATCTCGATAAAGATTCGGAATAAAAATATGAAGGGGAAAAAGCTTGTTCGGTTTGTGTTTCTATACTGCTAAATCTGTCATCGAATGTCTTGGCAGTTAGCATAGGATCTGCTTGAGATATTCCATCAGTCGAAGCGAAAGAATATCCTTCCGACGTGTCTTCAACGTAAGGCAATGTCATTAAAGCCACTGTACTCTTCGATACACATTGTATCAAAGGATTATGACTGTGGTCATAGAATGTATCGAATTCCGTTTGAGTCACATTATCATTAAATGCCTCGAACATGTCTTTTTCAGGTATCGTTTGTGTACCCGATGTATTTTTCTCTTCCCAGAAATCTTGCAAGCCCACGTCGTGATGAAGTGGCAGCGGACTAGTCGGAAATAAATTGGTTGACGTGAAATTGTCATTGAGATTAAGATCGTCCTTGAGTAACGTTTGTTTCGACTGTTTCGATAACGCGCGACAACTTCCACCGCGTTTGTGCACCTTAGATGTGTCTCTGCTCCCTTGTGGCGTTTGTGTTTCTATCGATTTTCCAAAAATCTTCTTAGAAAAGTTATTAGTCTGCGTTTGTTTGGATATTCGACGTTTCGTGTTACAATGTGGATTGTTATTGTTGAATTTCGATGGACTAGAAATCTTCTTGCTTCTTTTATAATCGTCCGTTTGCACTCCGACATCAGTTGTACTTTTTGTTGTGTTGATATCTTCGTTATTCTTTCCAAATTTATCTGGAGTGGGCAGTATCATGATAGGCTTGTTTACAATTTTTCTTGGTAAGACAACTTGCATCGTTTTGGAATTGGTATATCTGTAAAGAGATTACAAATATATCAATATGTCCATATTTAAATTGGTATCATAATAATTACTAAAGCTGCGTATTTGAGTTATACCTCGAAGAATTTTTATAGTTTTCCGTTATAACATGTAGAGATCGCTTTGCGTGTGTAAGCAATGCTTCATATGTAGTGTAAATCTTTGAGCAGGAACATGTAAATTCTACTCCACAGACTCTTGTATGGCCTTTTTTAGCAGACTCAGTGGAAAAGCTCTTGCCGCAACGATCACACGCATAATTTTTCTCCGCATGCACTTTCAAATAATGCTGACGAAATAATAAATAACATTATTAATTGATCTTTAAAGTTGATCTCCATTTTTTTATTGCTTTTATCGTTAGATATACATACCTGCTTTAGGTACTTTTTGGCGCTAAAATATCTTTGAGAATTAACAGCGTAGACACATGATTGCACTGGGCAGTGATAACGCACGTTTTCTTTTGCGATTTTATCCAATTTTTTGTGTTGGTGTACTTTGAGATCGTGCAGTCGGTAACGCGGCTCATTTCTGAAAACGAGTCCGCATTGCTCGCACTTGACATTGTTATTTATTACACTCAATTCTTCTGGTGATGGACAAATCGTTTTCTCAGACGCGATATTTTCCGCCGATCGATAAAATTTCCTCGGCATTGTAGGTTATCTTATAACAGGATCTCACACACATAGATTCTTGCCGGTATGCTGTATAATATCAGCCATATTCACGTTACGTATACTAAACGTAAAACAGCAGGAACACAAGAAAAGAAAAAAGAGAAAAAAAAAACAGATAACTCTGCTGTACCATCATTCTTCCTCTTTTCTCTCAATGTGTTTGGCATTGTATATTTTTCATTTCAAAAGGCCTACGACATAAAAAAAGACGTTTATAGCATGTTAGAAATATAATATTCGCTCATCTCAAGACGCAACAAATACTTTTAAGTATTCTATGTCCTTTTTCATACATACTTACACATATCAAATATTTCCTCATTTGGACTATTTATTCCTTTCATTTCGTCGTGGCTTGAGAAGCCGCTGATATAATATCAGATATGATAGTTGTATCTGGAGTCATCCGGGTTTATCGCGACTGATCAAGCACGTATGAAGCCGCGATAAGGAATTTGGATTTAAAATAGTGACACATTACTGTTTTGAGTACTCTCACGCATCCCTCGGACCTGTCAGACGTGGCGCTACTTGTCGCGAGCCGGGAACGGGAGGGATCCTCCTTTGCACCCGGCTTCGCTCGGCACGTCTCGCTCGTCTCGTCGGTCCGGTTGGGTCGATCGACCTTCCGTTCGCCAACAGCGACGGCGGTGGTGGTGGTGGTGGTGGTGGTGGTGGTGGCGAGTGCTTGTGAGTGCTTCGTGCGACGAAAGTGGACCGCGGCCGAATTCGCGAGCGCACACAACACACCGACTCAGTGCGTTCCTGCTCGCGCGGACGACACGCTGTGCGTGTGCCGAGTGCGTGTACAGTAATTTTCATTTTAAAGTCGCATCGGATCGCCGGGACTCGATTTCTCCCGGGGAAACTCTCGCCCGTCGTCGGACCCCGGAACCGGTGCGATCCCGCGAGCTGTCACACGGTAAGGCGGACGTCGGCGGCCACGGTTCCACGGAGGGTTTTTCCCACCGGATCACCGTGTATACGTACCGTGCACACCACATACGTCGCGCAGTCGTGTTATTGATTTTTACCTGAAGAGAGAAACCGTGTAATCGTACACGCGTATTTACGTGCACACGTATGTACGTTGCGGCTCATTGCCCGCGTGTTGTCCAGGTTCCGCGATTGATTTCCGTCAATGCTCCCGAGAGCTTCAGAGAGAAACGTTGACTCGGCGTATGCGAAACAGCAAATCTGCCGCTTGTAATCGCGCTTTGCAACATCCCTCTCTCTCTTTTTTTTTCTTTTTCCTTTCGGCAAAGTTTAAATACTCATCGAGGGTTGAATCTCGGGGGGAGAGGGCAAAATCGATCCTGTCGATATCGGTCAATCGTATTTGTTGCGTATCCGTCACTGTCTGCAGCTGGCACTATCGACCTAGAAACGAATAGGGGTTTAAAATACGGTAAAAGTTCTGTTCATCGGTCTGTGATTATCGCGATTATCGTCTCGATGGATTTACTCTAGTTGCCAAAGTTGACAAGCGGTCAGTATTAAAAATATTTTTCTATAATATTTTATACAAGCACCCTTTTGATATTGATTTCCGTCTGATCTTTGATAAATAATGTTTTTTTTACGCACTGTTTGTAGAATAAAAATTTGAGAATGAAATTTAAAAATTTCGATAGAATTTGTTTCTAACGTCCTTACTGAAAGGATTTGAATAATTTTTATACGTACAATTAAACTATTGGCATTTTGTAAAATTGTTGTGCTTCAAGTTTTTTGCGCTTGGAATAGTGATGTATGTACAAAGCTCTAATGAAACGATAAAAAAAGTATATTCATTGATATATTCATTGTGCCAATCTGCGATCGTCGTTGTGGTCGCGTTACATTGTTTTCTTTAAAGTTGTATCAATAGACCTATCATCGTGAACTTTATCAAAGCGCTTCTCTTTTTTCATTGTTAAGAAAACATCATCAATTAGGTATGTTTGAATTAGCGCATTTTTTTTTAAAAAAAAAAAAGATTTAGTTAATGTTACATTTTTATACACATTTAAAATGATATAAGGAAATGGAAAAAGAAAGAAAGGATTGTTTTTTAATTGATTGTTTTGTCAATTTTGAAAATCTTGAATATATTTAATATAATTTATCTAACTCGGTATCTCCATTAATGGTATGGTTATTAATTTTAAATGAAACGTAAATATATACGTTATCAACTTTACGTTACTACTATCTATCTAACGATAAGTGGTCGATAAGTAGTCGATTAGTAGAAACTGTCATTTCCGTGTAGACTCTTGATATGTTATTTATAAAAATGTCCATGCAATTCTATTACGATGTTGATAACAAAGTGAGAGACAAAGAATATTTAGTTAGTCCCCAAATAAGAAGGGAGGGTGTGTGTCACGGCCCGACCACGAACCAGTCATGAAAACTCGTTATTATTATTTTGCGAAAAAAATACCACCTCAGCCAGGAATCGAATCTGGATCTCCTGCTTACCGGGCAAGCATCTTATCCCTTCGACTACCGAGGCATGTGATGATATTTATCGCAAATAACGTCTTTAGAATAACACGTCAACAATACAATGATACACATATATACGTATATTACAATATACATATATATATATATATATATACACACACATGTATTCTCTGGAATCCCCACGACCGGTACTACAAAAATATTTACGAGTTTACGAGTAAATAACGTGAAGTTTTCCAAAAGAAAAGACTGATTTGGAATTTATCGTCGAAGAATCCGCGATATAATTTAATGTGAAATGAATAAAGCAGCTGCTCGGCATGCCGTTGGCAAACATCGCATCAGTTGTCATTGATCGATAGCGTACGCTCAAACATTTCAAGTGCGCCCTTGTCTGTCATGGATTATCAAGATGCTTTGACATTTTTGTTCTATTATGACTCTTAGAATATTTATATATATATATATATAAAATTATGGATTTTTTTTACAATCGATTTAAATTTCAATTATAAATTCAGTACCCGTAAATATTTAAGAAGTCTTTTTAGCCTAGATGCATAAACGTTTTATATTAATATAATTATTAAATATTGCTTATATTATTATTGTACGTACCTTGGTTCGTCGGCTTCGTATTTTTACTTTGAAGAACGCAAGTCTTTCGGATGATATTCTTAGGTGCGAAACTGAGAAAAGCTTATAATCGTCTTGTCGCCGAAAATATCTTGGTATTGCCAGTATTTAATTTCAAATTTGTACGTTTCGGGCAGCAGGGACGACTTAGGCTTCGGATTTTTAGTTTAAAATAATAAATAGATACCTGTAAAAGTTTTAATGGATGAGAAAAGGTGTAACACCAAGAATATTCTACAAATGAAAAAATTTTATGTCGAAAGAATGAAAATGAAAGTTTAGAATATTTAGGACTTCTATAAAGAAAAAATTCTTTTATTTTCATTATTTTCATTATTATTATTATTATTATTATTATTATTATTTCGATATATACAAAATTGAGTCTACTTTCAATCGATTGAAAAATTTAAAGGCGGCTGATGATAAATCTGACACCCAGCTGACATTTATCAAGACAGATAAAATACAAATGATCGGCGAAAAAATAGAACATTTAGACCGATGTGATATCAGTGAGCAAATAAATTCACAAAGTTTCACAAAGTTACTAAAAATTTACGCATTTAAGTCAGATTGCCTGATCGCGAGATCGTTTCCTCTAGCCTTCGCGTGACTAGAAATCGCTTCGAATAAAGAGAGGGAGGTACATTAGTCACGTGTACTAAAATCGCTCTATTCTTTCATTTGTACAGTCATATAGAAGAGGAAGACGATGCTCCACGCCATTCTCGTTTTCCCTGGCGAACCAAGTAAGCCGGATTAGAGGAAATAGAGAAATATAGGAAGAGAGAGAGAGAGAGAAAGGAAGAGAAGAGAGAAGAGGAGAGAGAACACGAATCGATAGCGCACAATTTCGGTGCTATCGGGTCAGCTGGTAGTGTTTCCATCTCTGGTGTCATCGAGCTGCATATTCTCTCTTCCTGTTTTCCTTCACAAAAAAAAAATCACCGGAATATTAAAGGAGGTGGTACAGTGCTGAGAGAAGCCACCCCTTCTTCGCGATGAGAGACACCGGCAACCAGGCCAAGTACGAACAGCTCTTGGACGACGCCGGTCTCGAGATCCGCAACGACAAGGAGCGCAATGACGAGAATGCAACACTAGACGAGGTAGGCACAGCAGAATCAGAACGACAGTTCTAGAACAACGTGTAATCTGGAATTATCTTCTATACGCAGTGTCCGGAAACTTGCCTGGATTACTTCTTGAAGTGATTCGGATTCCTTCAAAAAGAAGGGAAAAAAGGTGTATAAAGCATAAATCCGGAAATGAGTTGTTTCCGAGTTACATCCAGTTTGTTAAAAAAAATTGTAATTTATTTTTCATAATTATAATCATAATTTATCTTATAGTCTTTTAACAGAAATAACTTCATTTTGGATTATTTTGGCATTACCTAGGATATATGTGATAGTATAATCCGCTTGACACATTCCTCTTTTATAAATTTTATAATTAAATATAATTGTACTTACAAATATCGAAAAATGGAAAAAAATTAAAAACTAGAAAAACATTAATTTAAAAAAATGTAAAAAAATAATAAAAATTATAAAAAAGGAATGTCAAGCAGATTATATTACCTCCATGTGATGCAGTCTAGATAACGCCAATAGTCCGAAATGAAGTTATTATGTTAAAAAACTATGAAATAAATTATGATTATGATTATGAAAAATAAATTACGATTTTTTTAAAAATGAACATAACTCGAAAACAACTCATTTCCGAATCTATATGTTTATATGGCTTCTTTTCTTTCTTTTTGATCCCGAATCACTTCAAGAAGTAATCCAAGGACGAGTTTCCGGACATCTTGTACATATATATATGCATATGTGCAAGATGATTTTGCGTTACATACTCGAATTAATACGTGTAATATCTCGACATGGCCCGAGATTTACTAACATTACAGTTTTGAACTATGCAATTTATTAATGTGTATATCCTGAAATAACGTACAGCAAAACATAAAATTTTTCTTAATTTATTAAAATCTATAAGAGGAAATTAAATTTTTTTTTATCTCTGAATTCATCTTAATAAAGATTAAAGATCATCTTGTGTATTGTTTTTATGCGTGCATGCTTACAATCGAGTTATTCGAGTTTGATCACAGTTGCTAAAACTCGTTTTTATGTAAATTGGTTTTTGCGCGACAACTGGATAAAAAGTTGAAATACGTGGCTTGATATGGCTTTCGAATCGATTCATGATCTCGAAGAGATCTTGAAGAACTAAAGTTGTAAAATTTCATAAAAAGATTGCTAAAAGAAATAAGCCATTTTATCTTCGCGTGTTCCAACGTTTCGTTTTTTTTTTATTCTTAATTTTTCAGTTTTCGAAATTCGAATATGCAACTTACTTCAATTTGATTTCTTTCGAGATTTCGCGGTTGCACATCTTTCGTCTTTCTTTATCATTTAATCATATGCTGTTTCGTTTTACGTGTAGGAAATATAAGTAGCGCATAAGTGCAGTTATAAAAAATAGAAACTCATCTTCTTTCCCGGAAGACACGAATTTAATTCTTCTCGGATCGCGTAATCTTGATGATTTTAATTCAAAGTTTTTAGCAGTTAGGGAAAATCCAAAGAAATCGGGAAATTAAAACATGACTTGGAAAAATCAGGGAATCAGGGAATTTATTAACCTAAGATAAAATTAAATTACTGTAATATCAATTTAATTTTTTTTTTAATTACACTTCTTTCAAAATTATCGAATAAAATTGTTTAAAAAGGCATTGTAAATATTTTTTAACCGAAAAAAAATCAAAGAATCGAGGAATTCATCAATCTAAGATAAAATTAAATTATTGAATATCAATTCCGAGCTTAAACCTTTAATTTTTATAAATTATTGAATACATAAAATTTTTTAATTATTTAAAGAAGTAAATATTTTTTTATAATTTTTCAGTTTTGCAATGAGAGATTTGCAGAAAATCATTAACAAACATAATTAAAAGTTATGTTTTGTCATTTTCTGTTTATTTCCTATTGTATATTTTTGGTAATTAATAAAAATTTTAATGTAATTTTTTTAATTTTTATATTAAGTATTCCTTTTAGATTTCAGTAAAAGAAGTGAAGGAAAAATCGAGAAAAATTAAAGAATATTTTTTTCTGTTTCGTTAACAATCTTGTAATTTTAATGTAGAGTTAAAAAAATAAAAGCATTATAGACAAGAATATATTTTTGCATGGAGTATTTTATAATTTTTGATTAACTTAACCAATCGATTATTTTATTGGAATCGATCAATTGCATTTATTGAATATAAGCCGAATATACCAAAATTAATTATCAAAATCACTTATATCCATTTTCTATCAATGTAGATTAACTTAAATCTCAATTTAAATCTATTATTTAACTTTTTCTAATTTTTTAAATTAGAAAAAGAAGAAAAGTTAAAGTTAGTAGTGATTAAAGTTAGTAGTCTACATTGATAGAAATGAGCATTAAGTTCAGTCAATTAAGTTAATCGAAGAACCAAAGCTAGGAAGCGGTTAGAATTTAGCGGTTGGCGTTTAAATTTAAGAAAATAAAAAAAAATAGGGAAAATATAGGAAATTTAAAAATTAACGTAGGAGAAGAAGCAAAGAAGAAACAGGAGAAAAAAGAAAATTTTGAGAAGAATTTATTCAAACAAAACAAGCATTTATATGTCATATAATCTGAAAGGAAAAATTAAAGGCACATGATAAATCTTGAGAAGCAAAAAATAAAATTCTAATGTAATGTTAGGAATTCCAATGTTCAATTTTTTTCAATATTTGATTCTTAAAAAGAAAATGAATTCGTACGTAAAAATTAGAAACGTCATGAACAAACGATTGAAGACCGTCGGAGGGGTTATGACACAGTGCTTATGTAAGTGAAACTTGTATTACAAGGAAACGCTCGTACGTTATAAATGAAGGACATGAAAATGAGAGCATTGCCGATAGAGTGCGAGGAGTGACAGGACTAATGGCATTTGCATAATGACGTAAAGTGTCACGGGCATTTGCATCGGCAAACAACGCTCTTCTAACGACCTACATCTCGAAAACTCGTATAAACAGCATATCGATAGACTCGTTCGCCTTAGAACTTTCTTCGCTTTGCCGCCTTACAGGAAAACGTCTCGTTTCAGGAGAGGAAAAAAAATAGTCACACGCTTGCACTATGAAACTGTAATGATGTCACGTGAATATGAATAGAAATTCACGTATTAATCAAAATGAAGCGTTCGTAAAATCCTTCTAGTCACTTCTCCCTCCCGTTTATAAAAAGTCTGGGTTCTGACTTTCAGCCGCGATTTTTCTGCGATTCATCTCTTTGTGGAACTTGACGTATGTACTTCGAAGAATCGAGAACCTCTGACGAGGAGACACGTGTGTCCGTCCGACACGCGACACGATTGATCTCGCGGAAAATCGAAATAACAGAATTCACGACGGGGAGGGGGAAGGGGGGGGCTGGCAAAGGAGAGGAAACGCGCGGGAGGAACGGCCGACGGCTTTACGAGATCGCCGTTGACACGTGGACTCGATCGACAGCACTCGTCGATCCGCTCCCCTCCGTGTCTCTCGCGCCTCTCGCGAGTCCGCACCCGCAACCGCGATCCCGTTTGCGTGTGGCACGGAAACGATTGTCCTTATTTAATCTGTCATGTCGCCTTTTCGCCGAGACTTGCTGTCTGATCCGCGAGTCCTACCTGCGATCATGCCCTCGAATCATCCATCGTCCTCGGTATCTCTCCTGGATTGACAGCTTGATCGAGCCGCGAGTGAGGTTAACAATTCGTTATTTCGTATCTTCAACCATTCGTTATTTCGTATCTTTGTCAGCGAAATTCCGATTGATAACTTTTCCATTTTCATTATCGTCGCCGTGTTTTTTTTTCTCCAGTCAAGCGTTCTGATCACACGTCTCTTTTTGTCATGTGCGCATTTTTTTTACACAGTTGTCACAGCGAGATAACGCGCAAAGTACGCCAATTCGGTGTGCTATTAATAAAACGGTAAGAGACAACGTAAACGCATCGCGTGACACGTGCAAAATTGTTTTATGATTAAAGCTTAGCCTTATATCATTTCCAAAATTAGTTGAGAAATTTTTTCTTATTCAATATGTTTCACATTTTCAATTCAACACGTTCAACACGTTTAATTTTGTGTAACATTTTGTGTAACATTTTTATGTAACATTATGCAATGTTTAGCATTAAATTTTAATTTTTAGCGTTATGTAAAAGTTTGTTTATATAAATAATTTAACATGACATTTTTTTCAAGAGTAAGGAACAAGATTCTGAAATGTGGTTGACAACTGCTGAATCAGCTAGTCTTGGAGCTGAAGAAGTAGCAGCTAGATTACATGTCGACGTGCGAACTGGACTAAGATGGCAGGAAGCTGACCATAGAAGGCAGCTAACTGGTTTTAATGAATTCACTGTAAAGGAAGAAGATCCACCATGGAAGAAATATATCGAACAGGTATGAGGAATTCTCAAGCTTTTTATTCTTTTGTGTGTGTGTATGTGTGTGTGTGTGTGTGTGTGTGTGTGTGTGTGTGTGTGTGTGTGTGTGTGTGTGTGTGTGTGTGTGTGTGTGTGTGTGTGTGTGTGTGTGTGTGTGTGTGTGTGTAATATATAATGTGTAATAACAGAAATAGGCTTGTTGAATCACACAATCTTAGTTGAATTTATATCTTTTTCAGTTCAAGAATCCATTGATTCTTCTCCTACTTGCCTCTGCATTCGTCAGCATATGCATGAAACAGTTTGACGATGCTGTCAGTATTACAGTGGTAAGTACATTTAAATGTCCATTAATCTTATAAATTTTGTCAGGTGTTATCTAACCAATGCTTACATTTGTGATACGTTCCTTTGTAGGCTATCATAATAGTGGTGACAGTTGCATTTGTACAAGAATACCGATCGGAGAAATCTTTAGAAGAATTGAATAAATTGGTACCGCCGATATGTCATTGGTAAATAGATTTGCGCTTCTTATTAGATGCTTTATTATTAACTGTATGCACAGTGCGCCCTGATTATGAATGTTAGTCCAATCTTGAAGCAGCATGTACCTAAATTCATAATTCTTTGGAAGTATGGTCCTTGGAGGATGTACTAACCCTTTATACATGGAGCATTCCTTTCCCTTCTTAGCGAAGAAGATATAATATGTCGTTGCACTCTCTGTAGAAGGTGACACTTGCTTGTATGAATTCTCATAAGAAAAAAATCTTATATTCTAACATCTAAGAAATTCAAATCACACAAGAGTAACCATTAAAAAACATCCTTTATAAAATCTTTTTTTTTTTTAACCAAAAATTGTTAATGTTTTACTCAATTGTATTTACATTATTGTCATTATCTCTGCTTCCAGCTTGAGAGAAGGCCATGTAGAAACATTTCTCGCACGTAATTTAGTTCCTGGTGATATAGTGTATTTAAATATTGGAGACAGAGTACCTGCCGATATCAGAATATTCGAAGCTATAGATCTGGCGATTGATGAGAGTAGCTTTACTGGGGAAACGGAGCCAGCGCAAAAGTCGACAGCTCCCTTGCTTAAGACTAACGGGTTGACGTCGAAGAGAAATATCGCTTTCATGGGCACTTTAGTGCGCTGTGGGAATGGGAAGGTAAATTTGTTAAATTAAATATAAAATTCTTGGAAAAAAAGACGACTGCGTTTACCATCAACTTATATTACGATATCGCGCGATACAGGGAATTGTAGTGAATACGGGAGAAAAAAGTGAATTTGGGGAGGTTTTCTCGATGATGCAGGCAGAGGAGGCACCAAAAACTCCACTACAGCGAAGCATGGACATTTTAGGTACTCAGCTATCCTTCTATTCGTTCTGCATTATCGGTATCATCATGCTGCTAGGCTGGATCCAAGGTAAGGCTATCCTTGAGATGTTTACCATTGGTGTAAGCTTGGCAGTAGCAGCTATACCAGAAGGCTTGCCTATCGTCGTGACTGTGACTCTGGCATTGGGAGTGATGAGAATGGTCAAGAGAAAAGCCATTGTAAAGAAGTTACCAACTGTTGAGACTCTCGGTAAATTCAAACGTCAATAAAAATATGAAAAAATTATTTTATTTAAATTTTTGTTAATTAAATCCTCTCACAAAAGTATATTTTTTCAATTTATTATATAAAGTTTTAAGTATATAAGAAAAGATCTTACTTTATTTTAGGCTGTGTAAATGTGATATGTTCCGATAAAACCGGCACAATCACGAAGAACGAGATGACCGTGACGATTCTTGTAACATCAGAAGGCTACATCGCGGATGTTACTGGCGCGGGATACAACGGCGTGGGAGAAGTACGCATACGGAAGTGCGATAATCCGGATCTCGCACATGCTGCTATCAGTAATATGCTAGAAGTAGGTTGTGTGTGCAATAACGCTATCATACAAAACGATACTTTGTTGGGACAACCAACGGAAGGCGCGTTGATAGTAGTGGCAATGAAATTCGGAATGTATGGTATTGCTGATAGATATTTACGATTGCAAGAATATCCATTTTCTTCCGAGCAAAAGATGATGGCTGTGAAATGTACACCGAAATTTGGCGAGGTAAGTTTAAAATAAAGATTGTGTTTTTTCTTTTTTAATAGTAGTACATTTCTTTCTTTCTTTTTTTTTTTGGAATATAAAGTACATGTTACAATCCCTTATTTCAGAATAAACAAGAAATATATTTCGTGAAAGGTGCTTTGGAAAAAATCTTACCGCAGTGTACAAAATATTACGAAAATGGTCAGGTATACCCTCTTAGTCAGAAGAAAGATCAAGAATTCTTGACAGAAGCATATGATATTGGTCAACAAGGCTTGAGAGGTATTATTTTTCTAGCATAATAATAAGTAAATAATAATAAATAAATTTAGAATTATTTTGTGTAATTTATATTTACTTGATTACAGTTATTGGTCTGGCACGTGGCTCCTCATTACAAGATCTTATTTACATCGGTCTTGTTGGCATTTGTGATCCACCGAGACCATATGTACGTGAATCTATCAGCATTTTGATAAACAGCGGCGTTAAAGTAAAAATGGTGACCGGTGATGCTAAGGAAACTGCAGCTGCGATAGGTATATAAATAGATAATGAAATATACAAGGAATTATTACATTTTTATAACAAATACAAACTTTTATACAAACTTTTATACACTTTTATACTTCACATACTTTCAGAGTTACAGTGAATTTAATTATTTTTCAGCTAGTATGATCGGATTGGATACGCTTCACAATCGACTATTATCGGGAGACGAAATTGATATGATGTCCGAACATCAATTGGAACAGTGTATCAATAACGTTAGTGTATTTTATCGCGTAACACCGAAGCATAAACTGTGTATCGTAAAAGCTTTACAGAGGAATGGTAACATAGTCGGCATGACCGGTGATGGTGTAAACGATGGAGTCGCTTTGAAAAAGGCTGATATAGGTATCGCTATGGGTAAAAACGGCACTGATGTGTGCAAAGAAGCGGCTGATATGATTCTGGTCGACGACGATTTTGGAACTATTATGTAAATAATATATTGCCTCACAATTTTAGCCTGCAAAAATCAGTGTATTTATATCGTTTTTGATTTTAGCGCCGCGATCGAGGAAGGAAAAGGAATCTTTCACAATATTCGCAATTTCGTAAGATTCCAGTTGAGTACTAGCATAGCTGCGCTTTCTTTAATTGCTCTCGCAACTTTGATGAGTATACCGAATCCTTTAAATGCTATGCAAATACTATGGATCAACATCATTATGGATGGTCCACCTGCTCAAAGGTCAGTTGAATATCTTTTTATATTTTTAATGTTTCATTAAATATGCTCAATACGAAAGTTAATTCTTTTTCTATACATAGCCTTGGGGTAGAGCCGGTTGACAAGGATGTTTTGAAGCAAAAGCCACGAAATACAAAGGAGCCAATGATCACACGTCATCTCATAATCAATGTTTTGTTGTCTGCTAGCATCATTATTCTTGGTACTTTATGGGTGTACAACAGAGAGGTAAGGTTTTTTAACTAATCTATATTTTTTTCTTTACTATATTTTTTTTATTTCTAGATGGTTAATGGAAATACTGCGAGAGATACTACCATGACATTCACTTGCTTTGTATTCTTCGACATGTTCAATGCACTTAGCTGTAGGTCACAGGTAAAATTCCATATTTCAATTTTTGTTTTTATTATATCAAGAAAAAAATTGCTATAGTCTAAAGATATTCATTTATTTTAGACAAAATCCATATTCACGATCGGTCTATGGAGTAATAAAATGTTCTTGGTGGCTGTAACGCTCTCTGTCATCGGACAAATGCTCGTTATCTACTTCCCTCCGTTACAAAGAATATTTCAGACTGAGGCTCTTACGGCGAAAGGTATACTTTGTATACTAACGATTAAAGATAATCAATATATGTCTCTTGTCTAACGTGTTTGTTTTTCAGATCTTCTATTTCTGGCGGCGTTGACATCGAGCGTCTTCGTCATCAGCGAGATAAAGAAATTCATCGAGAGGCAACTGCAGAGACGTCGCGCCAATGGCCAGTATTACAATAAGTTCGAAATGGACTTTGTATGACAGTTACAGTCTGCCGGCGAGAGCAAGGCGGACAAAGATCATAATGAATAAGCGCATCAATTATCGTTCGACATCAATATGCAGTCGGTCGCGTTCGTTTACAATTGACACATTACGTCTCGCTAACTCACATCTACTCGACTGTGCTTGCACATTCGTAACTTCGTCACGTGTGCACCTATACAAAATAGAAGAATAATGATATTCTCTCGGTGACAATTTTAATGTATCGATTGCGCAGTGTGACTGCAGTTTTTTTACTATTTACAAATTGTCGATTCTATTTTTCCCAGCACGTTGTGCACGTAGAAAAGAAGAAAGAAAGAAACATTTCAGTAACAATGTAGTAGGTTACATAGATTATAGTTATTAGATTATATTTCATTATCCCTACTATGAGGTTATAAATCACCGTTTCATAGTTGGTAGCGACGCTACTGCACATTCCACGCACGTTTGACAGATCAATAACTTTTAATGATATATTCTATCTGTAATATAGTCTTAGAGACTGCAGTCCAAAGCAATGTTTGCACTGAATCATCGTACGTAATCATTCTATCTTACACCTTTTTCTAAATATCGTAACAGTTTTTAAGCCCCACTCGGGAAAAAAGATATCGATTTCATTCGATTCATCATTCACTGTCAATCGATTCACGCTAGAGAAGAAGCGAATCATGCAGCATTTTACCGAGTAAGAACAAGCCAGATAAACATACTGTAATTAAAACCAGTCATACAAATCGATTGCATTTAAGAATACAGTTGTAATCAGCGAAAATAAATGCTCTTACAATGTTCCTTATTAATTCCACAATTGCGAATATACTTTCGATGACAAAGTTATATGATGCAAATTGCATGTACAACGAATATGTCATTTCAATAAATGGTAATAATGACTCATTATATTCAAGTAATATAGATTGCTATCGAAAGGATACTCGTGTGTTGCATTATGTAGATATACTCGAATTTATGTCGTAAGTAAATTAATCACAATTTATTTGTATGTTGTTATGTTATATGTGGTATATAAGTATTTTATATTCAATTTTTTTCTAAAGATTTTTAAACATAATTATCATTTAATGAATTCCTTCCAAAATACTAAATGTTTTATATTGATATAATTCCGGTCCACCATAACCATATAGTATCTTTCCTCGGCCATTCTCGTCATAATAGGGATAGCGATACTTCGGCCTTGAAAAAAAAAAAGGAAGATTACGATACTACCAATTAATATTCTTTCGCAAAAAAGTTTTCTTATTGCTTTGAAGCATAATAATCAATATAACATATTTTTGTGTTTAATATCAACAATTAATTAATATTGATTAATTTTATTAATATATTTCACAATTAATTCTATACCTCCATAATTGATTTTACATTTTATATTTTATACACGTTTTGCTTCACTTACCGTTCGAAATATTGGAAATTAGGTGCTTTGGGTTCCGCGAGAGTAGCCTTACTTTCGTCAATTAGAGCAAAAAAAAGACGGCGAATGTCGTTAATGCAACCACAGTAGTCAGCCACTGTAATTAAAAATCAAAATTTAGGAAAATTAAAGCAAAGAAGTTTGCACTGTTTTTTTATTCAACGCATATTGCTTTATAAAATAGCTACATTTATTAAATATTAATAAGCCTTAAGAGAAATTCGAAGGAAATGTTGCATTTGAATGTAGCAACATTAGAAAGTTGCAGCAGATGGTGAGTGTTAAATAAATTTGACAAACGATCAATTTAATATATTCGAAAAAATATATATATATTTACTAGGTTTATAAAACATATTTACAGTTTATTAAAATAATTTTTTTATTACTTACGGAGATAAAAGTCGCCATTATAAACGGCCAGAAGTGAACCTATTTAAATATTATTGATTAAAAGTAGGAAATTTTAAAAATAATGCCAAGTAAAAATATCTTCTTGGTAGAACAATTGTTAATCGTTCGTCGAATTAGTCACACTACTGGATTTAACAAATCAATATTACGAGATAATATTGATCGTGGATGAAACTCGACGTTCTAGAAATGCGTCAGAACTCAGTCTAAATTTCTTCGTACCCCTACCATCCCAATTCTTTCCTTGACATCGTGTAAAGTGAAAGTTCTAGGATACTTTGTGCTACATACATTGATTGCTTCACCTGGGAGGTTGACCATGAATTCACGATACCCGAAAATCTGTATTTTGTAAAGGTATTCAGGTAAAATAATATTTTCTTAATTATGATTATGTTAAGAGAGATAGCATTAACAAAAAAGTATAAGAATACTAAAAAGAAAGCATGTTTCTAATCTCTAAATCGCTAATTGTTGTTATCTTAGATAACGACAATAAGGCGTTTTGATTAAAACATATTGTTAATATCGAGTATGCACACATCTATTTTAATGACAGTATACAGTCTATTTTAATTGCAAATATTTAATCAAAATCAATTTTGTGAAAATATATTCAGTGTTAAACAAGAAAAAAATTAATTGAATCATCTCTTTGTGTATAAT